CTGTTATTGAAATTGAACCAAATATCTATAACATAACTCTAACAAAGATACCAAGTTCATAAAAGTCTTTTTAATCTAAGATAGAAACGGTAAAATAAAATGAAATAAGAAAATAATATTCCATCGTCGAGAATCAAACCCAGGTTTGCTCGGTAAAAGTCAGATATCATAATCGCTAAACGACAATGAATTTTTGGTGTAGATGTCCTGAAGTCTATTGTCAGATCGCTGAAGAGTTTTAGTATGATCTAATGCTTAATGTCTAACTCTTCGACACTTCATTCCCTGTGTGTTAGAGTTCTCAGAGCTACCGAGATGTTTCGAGCTGTTCGATTGTGTGGCTCTTTCTTCAAAAGAGTCAACATCAAACGTTATATGGTGCATGACCCTTTTTTATACCATTCACTTTCGAGCACTATCATAGTTTTGCATCGTCCATGAGATGCATTGCGGCTAACGTAACTCTCAGGTCGTATGAGAAAGTTCTTGTAGCCCTCAACTCTCGGGTCGTATGGTAGAGTTCTTAGAGCTACCGCGACATTTCGAAGTGTTCGATCGTGGGGCTTTTTCTTCAAAAGAGTCAACATCAAACGTTAGGTCTTTAATTGGAAACCCATCCAGGGGAGCGTCGATTGCATCGATTCCATCAATGGTCTTTCCATGAGTTTTTGGTGCATGACCCATTTTGTATATCATCTAAGATACTATTTTACTTATCATTATAGTGACTCTCAAACCAAGTTCATAAGAGTCTTTTGAATTTAAGATACTATTGAACTCATCCATTATAGTGCTTCTCAAACCTAGGTAAAGTTTAAATATGAAACTATAAAATAAAAGAAATAAGAAAAATAAAATTTCATTGTCGAGAATCAAACTCGGGTCTCCTCGATGAAAGCCAGATCTTATGTATAATGTCTAACTCTTTGACACATTTTTTTATGTGTGTGATAGAGTTCTCAGAGCTACTGCCACGTTTCTTGTTCTTCGATCGTGTGACTCTTTCTTCAAAAGAGTCAACATCAAACATTAGGTCTTTGATTGGAAACCCATCCAGGGGAGCGTCGATTGCTTCAATTCCATCAATGGTCATCCCATGATTTTTTGGTGCATGACTAGTTTTTTATACAATTCACCTTCGAGCGCCACCATAGTTTTGCATCGTTCATGAGATGCATTGTGGGCCAACATAACTCTCAAGTCCTCTGAGTAAGTTCCTATAGTCTTGAAATATAATATCAAAATATATTAACATATTTGATATGTTAAATATTAAAATAATTGATGTGTATCATAAACATTAAATAAAAATATATATTTAAAATTTGAATGAGATTCATATTAATTAAACATATATTATGATATTCTACGAAATTTTAATATTATTTAAATAAGATATTATATCTTAATGTATTAGGTATTCAAATATATAATTTGACAAAAATTATCACAAGTTCACCATAAATAGAACCCTAGGGTTAAGTCAAAAAGCATCCACTACTAAATACTTTGAAATTTTAGGTGATATTTTGCAGAGGACGCTGATAAGGTCTTTAAAGAGCATGTGGTCATGTCTGACGTTTTAGGTTAACAACATGTTGAAAAGAAACCAGAAATTCTGATACCGGTAATTAACTACAAACCTTTGAATAAGGTTTTAGAATAAATAAGATATTCAATAAAAAAAAATGATTTGATAAAAAGAATTTATAGTCAAATGTTTTTATAAAATTCGATATGAAATTGGGATTTCAAAAAATTCTAATTTCCTAAAAGGACAAATATAAAATAGCATTTAATGTCACCTTTAGAAAATATAAGCGGAACGTCATGCAATTTAGGCTAAAAACCACTCCATCCGAATTTCAGATGATTATGAATGACATTTTCAATCCTTTCAAAAAATTTCATTAGTTTATAATGATGATGTGTTGATATTTTCTAAAACCATTAAGATCAACACTTTAAACATCTACCTACATTCATTAATGTAATCAAAAGAAATCAGCTAGTTGTGTCCATACCCAAAATCAAATAATATCAAACTCAGATCCGTTTTCTTGGATTCTAAATTTATTTGAGCCTTATAAAACCCATCCAATGGTCCATTGAGTTTGTCTCAAACTTTCGTGATTAGGTATCCTAGAAAAGCCAACTTCAAAAAAAAATTAGGTTCTCTCAATTATGTGTCTTAAGTCCTTCAAGATATCAGGCACGTTCACAAATGTCTTAATGAGTGTCTTGAAAATAATAAAAAGTTTTGATTTGTAAAAGATATCTCTACAACCCAAAAAAATCAAATCATTAGTCAAATAAATTCTCTGCTTAAGTCTTATTGACCCAAGGGCAGATCTCACAGTGAAACGTGACCATCAAATATTCGAGGTATCTAAAATTGTCAAAGAGGACAGGGAATCAATTATCATATTTCATTCAAAAGCCTCTAATAATACCATACAAATTACAAAAAAAGTAAAAAAATATATATATATATATATGTTATTTCCATTGTATTTTGTGCACAAAAATTTTAAAGGAAATTTAAAATAAATCCAGCTTATTTGTCATACTTTTAAGTTCAACTACAATAAATCAAGAAAAGAATTGAGTGGTAATAAAATATCACTTGACATTGGAATGTAATTTGAAGACATTTTATCTTCTGGAGTTGAATTACATTTAAAATTATTTATGTTATTTCTTATTTTCTTCAATTTGTATTTAATAGCTTTGGGTAGTTTGTAGATGAGCTATGTTTGAATTATCTTTTTGGCCTATTTAAATGCCGGTAATATTCAAGTTTGAAAACATTTTGGAATACAAAAACTTTGTGTTTGAAACCATTTGGTGTTATGTTTCTTTCAAACCTTGTTTTAGGTTTGGTGTTAAAATCTATTCATTAGATTAGTCGTGATCAAGTTAATTCTTGAGTGAGTCGTCTTGGAATCTAAGAGTGACAATCATAGATTCAAAGTTCAATCTAAGAGTTATTTATCCTTTTTACCTGTTCCGGGTTGAAATCAATTCGTTAAGTTAGCTTTCTTTGTAAAAGTTTGCAAGGATACTACGACCTCTAGCTTTGCAAAATCTAGCGTTATTGGCGCTTATCAAAATCGCTGCCAAAATAAAGTTTAACAAGTGGTTCTATGGTGTAGTGGTTAGCACTTTTGACTTTGCATCTAACGATCTGTGTTTAATTTCTGATAGGTAATCCACCAATTTATACAAAATTGGTCCATAGCCAATTCGGTAGGGTCACTTTTGGACCGATAATCTAAATAAGGGGTCACTAATGTTAAGATCATACAAAATGGGTCCATAGCTCAATATTAGAGCATTTGATTGCAGATCAAGAGGTCACCAATTAGAACCTAGTTGGGCCCTACTATTTTGGATAGAAATTTGTTACACTTTTTGGACCGACACTATGTCTAAGGGGTCACTCAGGTTAAAATCCTACAAAATGGATCCATGGCTCAATGGTAGAGAATTTAACCGGTCACCCATTTGAGCTTGGTTGGGCATTTCTATTTTTGACAGACACTTTTTACACTTTTGGACTGACACTTGGTAGAAGGGGCCACTAAGGCTAAAATCATGTAAAATGGGTTCATAGCTCAGTGGTAGAGTATTTGATTGCAGATTAAGAGGTCACGAGGTCGAATTTGGTTGGGCCCTTTTATCTTGGTTAGACACTTTGTTCGATTTACTCCGAACCACCGAGTGTCTGAAGGAAAAGAAATAAGAATAATTATCGATTCCAAACCTTATTCCAAAGTCCACCACATAGAACCTAAGGGCCTTGGACAAGAACCAAGCTATCATTAAGAAAAGAGTGTGGTATACCAAGCACCCACTATGAACATGGCTAAAAACTTACAATTAGGCTAGTGAAATAAGAATAATTACCGATTCCAAACCTTATTCCAAAGTCCTCCACCATTTAGAACCTAAGGGCCACTATTCTCGGACAAAATATAAGTTGCATTCTTATATTGACAAAGCCACAAGTACAAAAAATATTCATGAACTTTCAAAACTAATGCCCTTAACATTCTAAAATAAGGTTCTAACTATTAGTGAGTTGCATAAATAATCTCTCTTTTTATTTTCACTCACTCCTCTTCTTCAACCTATGACCCATTAATATCATTAATATTTCATCTCCTTGTTTTTTAGCTTTTTAAATACCCTTATTTCACTCCTAAATCTATAAAATGTCTCGTATTTTTATTCATTTTCTCTTTTCTTAAATATCAAAATCTTAAATAAAAAGGAAAAGCTCTCTAAAATATTCTTATTTGTCACTAATTTTACATAATTTAACATTTTAAAAATCGGTAAATTAAAAAAATCCTACATTAACATATTCATAATTTCATGTAGTCTTCATAAGTTTGCCGGCGACATTGTTTGTTGTCGAGCTTGATAATGTGAGTTTGTAACCCATCCGTTAGGGTTCTTGGAATGATTCTCTAGATTATCCCTTCCATGTTGGGAGTTGGGCCATAAGTCTTGGGTGAAGGAAACGTTGGTTTACCGCCCCTAAGAGTTAAGGAAGCATTTGAAAGCTAGTTTCACATTGTATCATTATCTCTGAGATAACAGTTCTTTTCTATTTTATCTAAATTTTTTAAATATGAGTTCATTTCCAAATGCATGCTAACACCCTTATTGTTGAATAAATGACATGAAAATAGTTTCACTGAGTAACGTTGCCTTTTGCTCCTATTGGTGGAAGGATAATAGGTCGATTATACCTTTATGGTAGTTTTAAGTGTGACAACATTTGACAACCAGACTAATTTTGCTTCATTTCTAGATGAAAACGTGTAAATTGTAAACTCAAACATTTCAAAGAAATAAACAAGTTTTGATGGTACCATGCTAACGAGAAAACAAATGTTGACTTTGACCAATCCCTATTATCTTTTTTTTTTCTTTATTTTGAAACTATTTTAAGCACTTTTCTCTTGTACTCAGAGGGAAGTTGTGTAAAAGCAACGGGAAGAATTGCTCACATACCAGTAAGCGAGGCTTATTTAGGTCGTGTTATAAACGCCTTGGCTAAACCTATTGATGGCCGAGGTGAAATTTCAGCTTCTGACTCTCGGTTAAATGAATCCCCCGCTCCTAGTATTATTTTGAGACGTTCCGTATATTAGCCTCTTCAAACAGGACTTATTGCTATTGATGCAATGATTCCTATCGATCGTGGTCAGCAAGAATTAATTATTGGGGACAGGCAGACCCGTAAAACTGCAGTAGCCACGGATATGATTGTGAATCAACAAGGGCAAAATGTAATATGTGTTTATGTAGCTATTGGTCAAAAAGCCTCTTCTGTGGCTAAGTAGTTACTACTTTACAGGAAAGGGGGGGCAATGGAATACACTATTATAGTAGGCTAAATGGCTGATTCTCCACCTACATTACAATACCTTGCTCCTTATACAGGAGCAGCTTTGGCTGAATATTTTATGTACAGAAAACAACACACTTTAATCATTTATGATGATCCCTCCAAACAAGCACAAGCTTATCGACAAATGTCTCTTCTTTTACGAAGACCGCTCGGCCGTGAAGCTTATCCGGGAGATGTTTTTTATTTGAATTCACGCCTTTTGGAAAGAGCCGCTAAATCAAGTTCTGCTTTAGGTGAAGGAAGTATGACTGCTTTACCAATAGTTGAGACCCAATCAGGAGATGTTTCAGCTTATATTCCTACTAATGTAATTTCCATTACTAATGGACAAATATTCTTATCTGCGGATCTATTCAATGCTGGAATCAGACCTACTATTAATGTGGGTATTTCCGTCTCCAGAGTAGGATCTGCAGCTCAAATTAAAGCCATAAAACAAATAGCCGGAAAATCAAAATTGGAATTGGCTCAATTTGTCGAATTAGAAGCCTTTGCGCAATTCGCTTCTGATCTCGATAAAGCTACTCAAAATCAATTGGCAAGAGGTCAACGATTACGTGAAACAATCCCAATCAACCCCTCTCACGGTAGAAGAAAAGATAATGACTATTTATACCGGAACGAATGGTTATCTTGATTCATTAGAAATTGAACAAGTAAGAAAATTTCTCGTTGAGTTACGTACTTACGTAAAAACGAATAAACCTCAGTTTCAAGAAATAATATCTTCCACCAAGACATTTACCCCTGAAGCGGAAGCCCTTTTGAAAGAAGCTATTCAGGAACAGATGGAACGTTTTCTACTTCAAGACCAAGTATAAAAGAAAACAAGTACCGTATAAATAAATTTTATAACTTGAAAATGTTAAAATTTAAAAATGAAATAATTTCATTCTTTTCATTTATTAAATAGAATATATAATTTTTAGAAAAGACTAAATATGGCTATGTCGCTAAGCAGGCCGGCCGAAAGGACACCAAATGCAAACTCTGGAATGGAAATAGAAAAGAGATGTAACTCCAGTTCCTTGAGTTATTCGAAGAAGGTCAAGCGACTGAAGAGGAAGGAAGGGAAGGGAATACTCAGGGGCAGGGGCCTGGATAAAGAAAAACAAACCGATCGCTTTCAATGAAAATTGCTCTTTGTCAAGACCGGACTAATCCCGGAAAAGGTGGATGATTCCCCCGCCCCGAAACTGACCTCTTTGTCTCTTCCCAAAATCTATTTCGAAACGAAATAGGAAATTAATAAAAAAAAAAATCGAAAGAAATAGATATTATCTCAAAATAATCAAGTTATTAATGACTGGACGAAACCAAGAAATAACCCCTCACGTGCGAAATTATAGAAGATCTCGTTTAAGATCAAACAATTCCATCGAATTGAGTATGATTGTATTCTTTTCACCTCATTTTTTTGGATTTTGTGTTTGTCTTTCCGTGATGAACTGTTGGCACCAGTCCTCCATTTTGTCTCTGTGGATCGAGGAGTGTGGAAAGATAGAAATAAAATGACTACCATTTTGGGTATTCACTTAATTTTGTTAGGTATAGGTGCTTTTCTTCTAGTATTCAAAGCTCTTTATTTTGTTCATTTTGCAAGTTCGTTATTACGGGTAGTTCCTACAAAGGATCGGACTAATGACGTATACAATACTTGAATTCTCGATGTAGATGCTACATAGTTGTCCATGAACAGGATCTATATAGACACATAGGCCCATGGATCCATACATCTCGATCGGAAAAGAATCAATAGAAAAAGAATCTCTTTAGAAAGAAGATCTTTTGTTTGTCTCATGGTAGCCTGCTCCAGTTCCCTTACGAAACTTTCGTTATTGGGTTAGCCATACACTTCACGAGTATTGTAATTGGAATAGTCTTAGTACTTCAAAAAAATTGATTTCTTTTTGAGACGAATCAAATCAGATGGTTCTATTTCTCAATCTTTCTGACTTGCTCCTACGGAACTAAGGTCGAAAAGATTGAGAAAAATAATTATTGATACACACCCCATTTGATAAATAGATCAAAATTTTCTATCGCTCTATTCTATTAATAATTATATTAATTATTATATTCTATAATAGAACAATTCCAATATTCAATATTTATTTGAAATTGAATTAGATTCTATATTCAGCAGGTAGTAAAGGCAAGCGCAGAGGCAGGGGATAGGCCCGTCAGAGTTCAATCAGTCTTGAACAAGGGCCGGCTAGGAAACGAAAGACGAAACATAAATCATGGATCAACTAAGCCATGGAAACCGAGCGTTTCGTGGTTTAAAAATGCCGAAATTGGATTTGTTGCTAAAATATCGGTATTAAATCCGAAACTCTCGGCGGCCATTGAAGCAGCGCGTAGGGCTATAATCGGACAATTCCATCGTGCTATGAGCGGACAATTCCGAAGAAATGGTAAAATATGGGTCAGAGTTCTCGCGGATCTCCCAAGCTTCTTCCAAAGCATACGGCTTTCTGGATGTAGATGATGATATCTATACATATGGATCACTGTCCTATATGAACACTTGGATAACCTCTTTTGCTTAACTCGAGAAAAAAAATGGGCTAGATCTATGAGACCTCCCGAAGATCAAAAGCAAGCTGTTGGTCACAAGCATATTTATTTTACAAATTATCACAAACCCAACTAACCTGAAGTGTTGCGAAAGACTGGCCTGCCGTCCCGCTCTGAAGAATGAATGGGCCTCCCCTATATCTATTTTAAATGTGATGCTTGAACTGATCTTTCTTTCTCCTCTGACTACTTACTCAACCGTCGTAACCCTCTTTCTTCTTTCTGCCTCTCCAACAAGTAAAGACTAAAGAAGCAAGAATGAGACTAATGTCACTTCAAAGACAAGGTAAGGTAGTAAAGAAGTAGCTGCTCTTTGTTTGATTGACCTAACTGTAATGTAAAGGAGCTTGAGGTTGAGTCTGACAGTTCACTCTCATTCATCTTTATTTAGTATTTTTTCAATGAATCGACTACTAGCCACTATCTTATAGTCGAGAGCCCCTTGATGCTGTTCACCGATTCCACTAAGACTGGGAAGCCGTGACTTGAGGTCTTCCAGAAGAACTCGAAGATGGAAATTCCAAGGGATAATGATTTTGAGGGGGGGTGGGTCATCAAAACAATTGTCCAAGATTGCTAGATCGAGCACGCGACGCGCATAGTCTGAAGTTCAAGAGCGGGAAATTTAATGTGTCTCAAAATTCGAAAGAATTAGGGCTTTAAAAGGACACGCTATCAAACAAAAGAGAAAAAGACCTGTTTATGAAACTTCTTAACCTCTGCCCGGATGTAAATAAAGAAAATGACAAAATGCTATTAGATTTAGATACAGACGAAAGGTGGTTTACCTTTTCATTTTAGTCAGATTTTCAGCAAGTAACCCAGTCGATAGAAGATTTTAATGCTTACTTGGATCTCTACTTTACGGAAACAATATTATTTCTGGTGCCATTATCCCTACTTCTGCAAAAAGTCACCTACACATTCACTGTCCTATATGAACACTTGGAAATCAATGGTAAAGCTCTTTCCAGATGGAGTAGTGCATCTCTGTCTTGAAAGCCCGCCCTACAGATAGGAGTTCCTATCTCGACTGCCTATCCAACCTTCTGACTCTTATTCGTGGTGGAGTGCTTCGAGTAGGAAATATAAATATATATAAATATATTAAAGAAAGTAAATAATATTTCTAGAAATATATATCAATATTAAAATGAAATGTAAATACAATTAAGATTTGTAATACATCAATTTGTCCACTATTCGTAACAAAAACTTTAGCAAATATATAATAACGGATTTGAAATTGTACCCAAGCATCGCCCATTGGTTCTATTCCCGATTCATAACTCAAAAGTTTCTCTCGCTCATTGCTAAGAGGGGCTAAAACTCCAGAAATAAGAAATGACAAAATCAGAATAACACTTGATATTATTAGAAATACCCAGAAAATATCATATTCATAAAGTAGAAACATAAACGTACTCCTATCAATGTGGAAAATATACCGGATTAGTCGATTCGAATTGAAATGAATTGTTGTTTTAAGTAATCCTCAAAAAACAATTCATTTTTTTTTTTTTTACCGAATCACCTCCTTTCGTTTGTTTGCTTCGGTACATGTCTCGTTTGAAGATTCATCCACTAGATTCCTATTTATATAATATCTATTATGTCCATAATAAATATTATATATTTATATATAATTTATATATAATTTATATATTAAAGTAGGAACTTCTATTTAGGAACTTTTAGTGATTGAGTAAGGAAACAGAAGACGACTACTTTAGTTTTGTGCTGTACTAGATAAGGTATACCAAGAGAAAAGCCTATTTGACAACGTTTACAATGAAAGTTACCAAATTCTCAAACTCTAGCTTGGCCACAAATCAAATACAGTAAGTCGTTCGTAGATCCATGTGATTTACTATTGCATTCGATTTGCATTGGGTTAGGGTGGAGTTTTTAACTGGTTTCATGTCATGATTTTGAAACCCAAAATTTACTAGAATTGGGGTAGGTAGCCCAAAGAGAAGAAGTAATACAAATTTC